TGAGGTGAAAGTAGGTTGTTAGAACATCACAAGGTTGATGAATGACTGAGAATCTAGACGCAACTATGGACCTGATGCTTTGCGAACTCATTTCCTGATCGAGATGAAAGAAAATAGAAAAAATTCTAAAAAAAATTTGCATAAAATTGCGGAACACTTCGGATCAAACAAACTTCTCGTAGGAGAAAGGCATCTGCAGCCTAACTAGCAATGTCGAAATCAACGTCAGTCAACAGCGATGAAAAGAGGGAAAAGCAGGCCTATTCATTCGTTTGATTCCTAGAATTCATCACAATCACGCAACTGACTTGTCATACAATTCGCTTCGATGTGTAATACTTTCATCACACCGCTGCTGCACGTTGTTTCTTTGGAATAGTACCTATTCAGTCTTGAAGCGCCTACCTATAACCATAGACCGAAATGTCAGAAAGAGTGTTGCCTGATGTAGAAGAGGAATACAGAGACTGCTATAGTCTCAAGTCAGAGTGTAGTGTGCCAAAAATGAAAATTATCATTGTTTAAGGGAATGTGTGCTTAGCATGAAACTTCTTGTTAGATGTACAGCAGTTCATGGCTTTACAACATGATATCCAGAATCCACTCCTTTCCTTCCACATGAAGGCCTTACACAGCAATTTATATGTTCTTTTGCCGTAGTTTGAACTGAGAAGAGATGGATAGATATTAGATCAGAGTGAATTTGGTAAGTGCAGTTAAGATAGCCAGCAGACAGCAGGATGCTTTATAACCTGCTTACTCAACAACTTTTTTCCTAACTTCGCTAAGATTTCTAATAGCAGCTGCGGGCTTCAGGAAGCTAGTCAAAACTGTGGCATCAGAACTTTCAATATTCTTTCAACTTTCAGAAATGAATTCTGTTAAGTCAAAAATGCATGTAAATTTCAATAAAAATGAACAGAAACACGATCCTTATATAAAGAAAGAAAGCCCTTGAAAATGTTCCCAAGGTAGGATGGTAGGACGAGTGTGTTGATCATATTCGGTCTAACCAGTAATTATTCGTTGCGAACCCTTGATTACTCAATCCCCTGCCACTGATATATGCATGTGCACGACTGCATGACTACGATATTTAATACGAGAAGGACAAAAGTGCTGAAAATCAAATTAGAAACGACGTTTTTCAGATAAAGTGCTCAAAAACTTTAAAAATGACGGTAAGTAGTGCATAGGCATTGAAGGATGAACAATTAACATTACCGACAGGGTGGTGCAAGATAAGAAAATAAGATGCTAAGCTAATCCATGGCATTCGCATGCAATGCTGAGAATATCTAACCATATGACTACAAACCTTTGAAGAAGCCGTTGCCGATGATGGGACTGGCGGAGGAGGCTCGTTGGGAGGAAGGCTCATCCCTTCACCTAAAGATTTACAGAGATGAACAACGATCACGAAAAATATTGGAAACTATTCAGAAACGCAGGTGAACGAGGGGCCGTTCGATCTTAGCATGGAATAAAAGACAACCTTGACCTTAATACGGGGTGATGGGGAACTCACGAACCAATGCACGATAAGCAACGGACATGGAAAAATAAACATTGTAAATCCGTTTAGAGAATGATATTTAGTGTTAGATTGAACTTGCGAAAGATGTAGAATATTCGAGTTCAGCAATGTCACTCGCACAATCATAGAGAGCATAATTGATGAAGTAAACTGCTAGTTTGCTGGAGGATTGAGGACAATCCGTCAATAAATGCTGATGAAACTTTCATTTCAAAAACCGCAGATATAATAGTACACATACAGAAGCAAATTCACTAGTTCCACTACCCCCAAAAATAGGATGCTATGAGGTTCGACAAAAAGGACCCACTTCTATGTGAAATTAAACGCTTACCACAATTGCAGTGTGCCAAACACTCAATTCACTCCACAGCAAATCCAAATAAGATGAGTTATTTGTTCATCGGTGTAAACAAGAAAGAACTGTTTGAGCAGCAAGCAAATTCCTACGTCTATCTCAAGCCATAATTGTTGTCAAGAAATTGTAAACACAAAGAGAACATATTATCCTTTCCTCAACCAACACGTGCGAAAGGCACGTGGTTAGAAGGAAAGCGATACTGATACTTGCAGGGTCAAAATCCAAGAAGGGGTGGGGAGACGGATGGTAGGCGATGGGGGGAGAAAAGGTTTTGGAGGAGAAATTAATGGTAAAGCTTCTTTGGATACAGAATCTGCTTAGATGATAGGCCTACGCGCTATTATATAGTTCCAGTACGCATTTAAAGTCTCTACAAAGTTGATTAAAACTATGTGCATGTAGCGTCCATTGCAACAGATTGACTAGCACCAAAAATCTTGGCCCCCAAATCTTATCTACTAAAAGAAATAAGTACAATATATAGTTAGCTGGAGCGCCAAATAGGGATTGAATAAAAATGTGAATCAACTCCGGGTGATGCTAAAACCATCACTTCGTAAGTGTTGTACTCAATAATACCTGCGCTATATCCTAAACCTTTTCAGTAAGTTCACATGTCCTTAACCCTCAAACGCAAATCTATGTTACGTACGTGCATTCGTCACCACACATCAGCATACGTGTGGCAGTGGCGAGAAATGGCACATCCTTTCGTGACCAGGATGACTCTGTAGCGAAGAGGATACAGGAAACCAACATACGGCTGGCTCAGAATTGCAGTGAACGCGACGACACGTAATGCTGCATTTGTTTGCAGACGTCTGCGACGATTGTACGAATTGTACGCTAACTTCATATCTTACACAAGGACACAAAATTCTACCATGAATTTTCGCTGCTTGTTGGGGAGGGCACAGCGAGACTCTAATCAACTAAACTTGAGATCCATGATGTGATGAGAATCCGAAAGTCCTAAACTTCCGTTGCATAGCTAATCCGAAGATACAGCCTCTACACCTGCGCTGCTGACACAAGAGAAATAAATAAAATAACTCCTAAGTTAATAAAGATCGTCACAGGACAGTGCGCCAAAGGGCAGAGTTTCTAGAGGAGAAAGATTATACATCAAGGTGCACTTGCCGTCGGAGATCTGCAAACAAACGTGACACTACGTTCGATAGACTCACTGCAATTGGGAAATAGCTTAGACTCGGACAGAGAATGAGCGAACACCTCTTGCTGCTGTGGATGCGCTGTCACGTCTGCCTGGGAATCTCCGACGGCCGCTCTTACAGTAGTAAGTGCCATCATAAGCATCATATTTACCGAAACTCGATCCACTCTCTAGTGCGCGAGACACGACTGTTTGAGTTTTGTCCATCGCCTCTGACACCATGTGATATACGTTCTGGCGAGGTATTATGTGTAGAGGTAACATGAGATGAGGCTTAGTATCTTCAGATAAAAATCTTGAAAATGAAACAAAAAACATAGTGATTTGAACGGGATTCAAGCAAAAGTTAAAATTTTATCGTTTTGCTAATTTTGACAGCAAATTCCGCAGTCACTAGGTTATCTTACTCGATGTTGATATGCTCTTTGCATAGCTCAGATCTAAAGT